GATGTGGAGCAGTATCTAGCACTGCCTGAAGCTGTGTTCCTATGTATCAGTGTCATTATATCCAGTACTTTCTGTCTCAGTGCCTGACTTCTGCACCATGGTCATAGAATTAGAGGACAGTTGACTTTTTAGGGATATAATTTGCAGTAAATGAAATTCTGAATAGCGTGGGGAGAAGGGGAGGATGGGACAAGGGACAAGGTAGAGGATCACTTATAGTGACTCCTTGAATTAATGACTGCAGTTTACTGTTACTAGAGTTCTATTCACCTTTTGCTTATACAGGCTAGTAATTTTCCTGTTCCTTCCCCTTTAGGAATGCCAGTTCACATGCTTTGTCAGTGTTCAAAGTCAATTTTGAAAGTTTGAATAAAAACTCTATAGGGAATTCTCAGTTTTGAGAAAGACAAAAAAAAAATAAAACCTATTTCTGAGATTTTCCCCTCCCCCCACACTTCCAACGGTATACTTACAAGGTATAGGTATAATCCTACTAATAGTGGTAGGCTTCATTTAAAATAAGAAAGGAAAAGAAGAGAAAAAAATCAGTTCTGAACATTAGAGGGGCTCTCTGATCTCTGTGTTGATGATGCACTTTTATTCTCTCAGTATTAATGGGAATGTGACCATTCTGAGGCAACCTGCCAAAAAAAACCCCCAACATCATTCACTGAAAACACAGCAAACATCTGAAAATAATTATTTTTAAAAATGGCTTTGTGATTTTTTTCCCCGCTGAATTCTAGAATATTCAGTTAAATATTATTGCCCTGAAGTCTGCAAATCTAAATAGGTTTATTGACACACAAGCAAAGTGAAGGAAAGGTCATTTATATTTCTTGTCTGCATTTTCTAATTTCGCGCTTGTGGGATTAATTTTAAGAAATTCAAGATTTCAGCAGCAAAATTACCTTGGTGGTATGTAGGTTGTCCCATTTTTGATGAACCAATTTTGCTTTGTAAACTCTAATATGGATATGCAGGATTCTGCACTGCATATTGTGGTGGGAGGTCTTTCTTTTACATGAAGAGCGCACAAGTAACTGGTCTTACAGATGGTCTAATAGCTGTATGGCAAGGCCACGTATATTATAGAGGAGGCTGATTTTGTCAATAGAAGCTGTTACATGCTGTTCTAATTGCATCAAGAATATTAAACCAATGTGCAAGTGAAGGGAAATTTGGCACAGCAGACAGTAAGCATTGCATTGAATCTTCCCAGATGCTATAGGACTGAATTTTTATCTGAAAGTTAGACTTAAAATTCATGAGCCAAATTGGTTCAACTGTTTCTGGTTTATTTTGCACTCATGGCTATAGCTCAAGAGAATACCTATTGCTCTAGCTGAATCTGTGTTGGTTTTCCTTCTGATGAACCTGGGAGACCTGCATGGACAGTTCTTTAGACCTCAAAGTGGAAACAATCATCTGAAACAAATGCATGTGTAACATGGGGGGTAGGGATGTGTTCTGGGTTCATGTAGATGTTCCATCTTAGGTGTACGAGATCTTGAGGGCAGGCATTCATTACTACAGACCCGAACAGAGCCTTTTATGAGGAAAAATTTCTTCACAGAAAGGGTTGTCAAGCATTGGAACAGGCTTCCCAGGGAAGTGGTCAAGTCCCCATCCCTGGAGGTATTTAAAAGGTGGGTAGATGAGGTGCTTAGGGACATGGTTTAGTGGTGGAATGGCAGTGTTAGCTTAACGGTTGGACTTGATGATCTTGAAGGTCTTTTCCAACCTAAGCGATTCTATGATTCTACCATAATGAAGTGTTCAGCTGTTCTGTCACCTCTTGGCACAAAAGCATCACCGCGAATTTTAACTCCTGTCTTCATGCGATGGTCTGCGTATCCTTACAGAATCTAGGTCTTCCTGGTTTTGAAACCACAGGCAACTCTAGCACCAAAAGGTGGTCGCCTTATGCTACCCATATTAAAGCATGGGTTTGAGAGCACCTGCTTTTTCTGCCACAGTGAAGTCAAGGACTTGTTGCACCTGTATTTTTCTCAGCACCAGCCCTCATGTAGTTTATGGTCCTTAGCTCAACCAAGGCTTCTGCTGTCATCTTTTCCCTTTTTTGTCATCTTTCCTCCTTTTTTCTTTTCTCTCCCTAACCCGTAAAGTGACCGTCACTGGTTATTGTGCCGTTGGGTGAGGAAATACTGCCAAGTGGAGGAGCAGCACAAGGTTCAAGCTTCACATGAAAAGCAGCTTTGGCTTTACAGAACTTCATCTGTGCTGTCAGATTTCCTGCTCTTGTGGACAGGTAGAACTTGCTTGGTGTTAGTTCCCAAGGTGTCATGGAAGACATACTCGGTGCTGCCACAGTGGCTGGGGCTCAGATCCCCAAAGCTGGGTCAGTCCAGCCGAAGTGACCACCGTAGATGTTGCCACAGCTTGAGGCCTATCAGTAGACCTCCGAAGAGCACCTGCTTGACCTCCGCGGGAGCACTGAGCCCATCTCCGGGGCCCGCTGGTGGCCGCTGTGCGCAGCTGGAGCCTCTTGGGAGCCTTCTTTGCGTAAAGCCTCCATCACCGGGCAAGCTCTGCCCATGGAGAGCTGCTTGGAAATACTGAGAGGTGTTGGCTCTGTGTCAACCACGAAAAACCGTCGCTGAAGTAAACCCTTGTGGGAGAGCGGCGCTCTGTCCTCCCTTGCATCCTCTGCTGGGCTTGCATGTGGCAAGGAGGGGAAGTCGCCATGTGCCCGGGGCCGGCGGTGTAGGCCAGATGGGAGCGCTTTGTAGCAAAGCTGCGCTGGCCTAAGGGGCAGGGGTGTGTGTATGAAAATTATCACGGCAGCTTCACGATCTGACGGAAGGCAAGGGTGATAATTATAAGCTCCTCATATAATGTCTACGTTTAAGTTTGCTTTCTTGTGGCTTTCCTCCCCCCGGGGGCCGGGCTGCAGCCATCAGGTCCTCCCCGCCGCCTGGCCCTTGCCCTGCACGGATGGCTGCGGGCCGGGGCGCCCAGCCCGGGG